GGAGCCTCCACAAGCGCGCCCTTGACCAGCGCAAGCTGCTTCTTGACGCGCTCGAGCGGGACGCCGGGGACGACGTGCCCCGTCTTCACCTTCGGCACGTAGTTCTGCACGCGCATCATGTCACAGTCAGCTGCAGCCAAAACACCAGTGCGCACGACGGGAGACTCACGTCGTACGCCTTCCAGTCGCGCACGAGGTTCGTCGGCACGGGGCGGAACACCTCGGTGAAGATCTCGCGGTTGCGCCGCGCGGTCGTGTTCCACAGCTCGAGCGTCGCGTCCGCGAGCGGGTCCGCGACGAGCGCGTCCTCCGCGCTGCCCATCTCGTCCGGGTTGTGGTGCGGCGCGGGCCGCATGAACGCCGTCGGCGGCGTCTCGCCGACGGTCTGCGGCGGGATGAGCCCGAGATGCTCTGCAGCGGCGGCGTCAGTGCGAGCGCAGGAATCGCAGGCGGAAAGAAAGGCGCGCGCACCGCGGAAGAGCTTGCGCCGCAGCGAGGTCGCGAAGCGCGCGGCCTGGTACGGCTTGCCGTCCATCGTCGACGGCACCATGTCGTGGTCCTCCACCACGAGCGCAATCTCAGAGTCGCCGTCGCCCTAAGTGGTCATTTCAGCGCGTGGGGAGTGCGTGATCTGAAGCAACTACACACCTTCTGACTGCGGTCATTGATGTTCGCCGAGCCCATCTACTCGAAGCGTCAGTCGGTCACAATATAGGCTCCTCAACACTCACGATGACCCGCTTGTCATCGACAATCATCAGCTTCGTGTGGATGTACAGCACCTCCGAGACATATCTAGCGCAGCAGCTCAGCACACTCCGCAAAAAGAGACAAAAGAAGACGACAACGCACGCATCGAGCTCCTCCCGCTCCGTCCCGAGCCACTTCTCGTCCAGCAGACTAGTGCGGTCACCAAGCATATGCTGCGCAACATTATCCGCAACATCCTCGTCCCCACGCACGTTCCGCGCCGCGGCCTCAAACCGCTCAATGACCCGCCGCGCCGCGTCCTCCGACTCGGGGATCGGCACCGTCTCCGTCTTCTGCGGCGTCTTGTCCGACACGACGATCCCCTCCGCCGTCTCGACCGGGATCGTCACCGTCACCTCCTTCTGCGCGCCGTCCGAGTCGTCCCCGATCCACTGCCGCGCGAGCGCGACCTGCGCCGCGAGGAACTTGACCCCGCTGTCCGCTTCGATCTTCTCGATGTACGTCGACAGCGGCGCGTTGATGCGGTCGTACGCGCGCAGGTGGTAGAACCGGATGTAGTCCGTCCTGTGCACGACGTGTCAGCGCCGTGCGGTCCCGCCAGGCCCGCAAAAGAAGACGTACGGCTCAAACCCGGCCTTGCGGATCTCCTCGTAGATGCTGTGCCCGCCGCGGTTGATCGTGCGGTACTGCGCCGCCATGATCGTCTTGATCGAGCCCTGGTCCTTGATGTTCCCAGAGAACCCGGGGACCTCTGGGATCACCACGATCACCTAGGCGCGCGCTCAGTCCGCTATGCACGGTCGCTGCGCAGGCGGGTGCTCACCTGGAACTTCTGGCCCGCCTTCGCGGCGCGGACGATGCGCTCCACCAGGGCAGCCGCGATCTGGTTCTTCACCGGGTCCTTGTCGTACGTGCTCGAGATGCTGCAGGCCCAGTCAGCTTCCACCACTGCACAGTGCGATAGCGGCACTCACAAGAACTGGTTCTCTGCACCGCCGCGAAACGTCAGCCCCCGCACACCGCGACACGCACAGACGACTCGCCGATATAGATAAAGTGGTGCGCCTCCCTGATGAGCTCGCAATCTGCTTGACAATCAGCACCAAACCCATAAGAGCGCGGGGCACGGACAGGCGTTCTGGATGCTGTGCTCGGTGAGCACGCCGTGCGACCAGTCGCTGACGCTGCGCACGGCCTGCACGCGCATGCCGGGCACCTTGCGCGGCGCGTAGTGCGGCTCCGGCGGCGCGTCGTAGCCGAGCCAGCGCTGCGTGTACTGCTGCCCCATCTGCGCCCACGCCTCGCGGTGCGGGTGGCGCACGACGGCCTCGTTCGGCGCGCGCAAGATGTTGTGCGGGAGCGCGAGCACGGCGACTTTGCTGCAGCGCGCGGGGTCAGGTGGGACAGTGGACGGGCGGAGGGAGGGGGCGACGCACACGTTCTCGCGGTACTTGCGCTTCTTGATCTCGTTCCAGCGCTCCGTAAAGTGCTGCACGATGTCGAGCACGACGGGGCCCGTAAGCGTCATGTGGACCTGTACGCCATCAATCAGCAGCGACACACACTCAAAGGACGAAGCAGCGCACGTCGTGCCACGGCATGCGCGCAGACTCGAGCGACGAGAGCGCGTTGCTCGCGTAGTTGTACACGTTCTGGAAGTCCATGATGCGCGCGTTGTTGTAGTCCTGCCCGGGGAACAGCGTCAGCGAGAAGTCCGTCGGGTGCACGTCCGCGAGCGGGTGCGTGTGCGAGTCCCAGCGGCCGAAGCAGATGTCGAGCCCGCCGATGCACGCGTAGTGGTTGTCGACGACGACGACCTTTTCGTGGTGCGACCAGAACTCGACCGTGTCCTTGGAGCCGATGTGGTCCGGGTGGCGCAGGCAGGTGATGTTGGGGTGCAGCGCCTCGAGCGCGCTCTTGGTGTGCTTGGAGCTCATGGACATGGTCTGCGTGACCTCCTTGTAGACGATGACGTGGACCTTGACGCCCTGCTCGGCCTTGCGCTTGAGGACGCGGTCGAGGCGCCATTCGGGGTGGTGCGCGGGCGGGCGGCGGAGGTACAGCTCGGGCGTGAGCCACCAGTCCTGTTGGGGTATGGGTCAGTGCCTTGCACAGCGAGCAGGTGGACACAGAGGGCCAGATGCATATGTGGCGCTTGGCTAGCACTGCGAGCACACCTCCGCCAGCATCGGGTGGCGCCGCGAAGCATAGAGGGCCAGCTCTGTGCCTTGCCAGCAGCACCACAAAAAAACGTAGCAAGCGTACCTGAATGAAGATGACCTCCCTCGCCCCGTCCAGCATCTCAGAGAGCGCCCAAAAGTAGTCATGGCCGTCGATATGCCTGTCTACCAGTCAGTGTCATGGCGAACTCCCGCGGGGCGCACCGCACCATTTCACAAAGTTCTCAGAGCGCTCCGCCGCAAAACTGTCGAACCGGTGGCCCGCGTTGATCTCGGCGCGAATCTCGTCCTGGCGCTTTTCCTCGGGGTCGTCGTGGCGGCCTGCGTCAAGTCAAGTAAGCCCGCTGCACCATGTATGCTTGGGGCCCAGCCCGTTCACGCACGATTGGGGTTCAGGATGCCTGGAGACGTGTTAAGTGGCTGGTGCCAGTGGGCGCGTCGGACGGATGCGTACCAATAATCTCGTCGCGGGTGTGCTGGAAGCCCTCAGGGATTTTCTCGACAAGTTCTTTGAAGAAGCTCATGGTTGTTGTGGCAGGGAAGAAATGAGATCAGACATCGGCGCGCCCACTCGTCTAAATAAAGGGCCGTCGGATTGAGATCACCGCCCATATTAGCTCAGCATCGGGTATTTGCCGACATCTGTTTATACTTGGCGCGTCCCGACCACACACTCCGCAGCGTGGCTACCTCGAACTGGAAACGATCAGGGCGAGGTAGCCACAACGTCACGGAGCAAGGATAGAGCGATGCACCGGCATCAACGTGAGTTGCCTCTAGAGATCCGTCGAACACAGCCAACCACGGCATTTGTTTAGGTCCGTCACGATTGAACTGTTCTTAAAATGAAAGACATGGCGCGGACGGGGACCTGGCGGTACATATATTTTCGTAGCCAGCATACACGCTGTCACGTCCGTCGTCCGCTACGCACTTGACCGCGACAGTGACGCGTCCGGCAACATGAACACGAGACATATTTCCTTTAATTTTGCTCACTGGTAACTGGAATGCAGATTACTACTGTAGTCAAAACGACGGTGGTTATGCAGAAGATTCAAACGAGACGAGTGAAGGAATCTAAAAAGGACGCGCACCAACACGGAGCCACGTGTGAGCGCCGCGGCTGTCCTGTGTCGGAAAACTGGAGAATCCCTGATAAGGTGCTGACGGCCTTGTCAGATCATATCAGGTCCTGTCAGGCTTTGGTTGTAGGGGTATCAGGACCCATAACAACCTTGTCAGGGCTCATCAGGCCTGGTTAGATTACAAATAGCTGATAGCATAGAAATTATCACAATGTCACATTATCTGCTCATAGGACTATATGAACATGCGGCTCACGGCGGTGCGGTGCCATGAGGCCGAGGATAACATACTCTATCGACACCTTCCTCAACTGGTTACGTATCTCGCAACCAGCCCAGCACGTCCGTGATTTTCATTTACCCCGCTTGAACCCTAGAAGCCACTGAAGTTCACCAGGAAAGTCAGTGAATTCACTGTATTTTTCAACTAGTTTCATGTGACCCATTTCACCTTGTTTGGCCAGTGAATTTCACGCTGGGTTAACTTCAAGTTGAAATACACACACCACTCGGGTCAATTTCAGGGGGATACAAGTCAACTTTGGTCAAAGTACATATACAGTATTACAGTCTAAGTACTACTTCAAATACATTTGTTTATTACGGGCACCACGCTGTCATGTACACTAGACCGAGAAGAGGCGGAAGATGATGATTAGCTACGTTGTACTGTATTTTTACCCAAGTTTTCACCTACAAACTTCACATGAAATTCAGTCAGTTAGCGTGGTCATGGTCTGGTTCGAAGTGGGTGAAATATTTTCACTTTCTTTCACCCTCTTTCTCAGTGAATTGTAAATTTCACAGGGTTTCATGCATTCAATGCAAACTCAACACACTGTGTCTTTCACATTCTTTTTGCAATCAAGCATTCATCTGGACGAGTAGAGGCATGCTCCCCAGATGTCCTTGAAAACATGGTGCTGAGAAGCATCCGATAGGTGGGTGAAGAGGTGCTGACAAGGCCTGATCAGGTCTGTGGACGAAGGTATGTGTTGAACTTGGTTTCAAATGATTCAATGGTTGCGTAGTGCAGTGGTTAGTTCACTTGTTTCATTGATCTAACATCCCATGAGGCTCTTGGTTCAATCCCGAGCATGGTCAAAAGCTTATTATTACTACTAACACAAGAAGCAAGTGTGTAATTGGCAAGTCAAAGATGCCAAAATAAGAGAAAAAAAAAAAGAAAAAAAAACTGATAATTTTTCGGCCCTTTCGGCACAAACCTGACCAGGCCTGACCAGGGCCATAATGCTGGTCAGGTCCCAAAAGGTCCGTCAGGCTGATAACCCCCAGACCTGTCGTTTTTGAAACTGATAAGGACTCGGAAACCTGATGGCCCAATCAGGCCAGATACCCCCAAATCAGACCAGATCTGCGGTTCTCCAGTTTTCCGACATGCCGAGGAGGAGACGAAGGACGCGAAGGCCGCCAGGCGTGAGCACACATGACACGCTATATCCGCTGTTCCTTGACAATGACAGTCTGCACGGTTAGAACGACAAGCGACTTTGGCCTAGGGTTATCCAGCAGCTGTCAGACCTGTGTTCAGCCTTGACAATGTTTACTGCACACAGTTGAGAGGAAGGCGAAACCTTGCCAACTGATCACCAAGCCTGAGTTCGGTTGTGGGCTAAAACTTGTGGGATGTGACCCTAACGTATCTCAAATCAGAGTTTATCGACCTTCAAGTAACTTGTGGAGACTGTCAAGTTACGGACCATCCCATGGAAGCCCGCTACTAGCCCCGTCTGGCGTCATCCTTGGGATTTATGCATGGCTCTACCCACGGCTACATGACAACGCGGCTCCCTGGCTCTGCCGCTCTGCTGCGACAATAATTAATAATCCACGAAACAGAACAATTTTGCCATCGTCCGAATCGTGGCCCATCGCGACCGCACTCAGCGCGTCTCTTCTTGCGGTTCTCAAGCGCTCAAGGCGTACGCGTATCTTGTGCGCTTCATTTGACGGTTACTGACTTGCTGCGACAAGAATTGGCAGGTTTGGGAATGAGGGTTATCCGGAAGACACTTCATTATCTATTCACGTAACTGCAGGTACGCCGTTCGAGGTACGAATATGACTCTGGTCATTAGTGACGCCAATCCTCAGCTACAGAAATGCAACATCCAATGATTCCAATCTTACAAGTTACCACTTGAATCACGTATGTTAGTCCATTTAACCCCTCGCGACACTTCCTTCAATGGGCTAACCCAGAGGACAGCGCACTTTGCACATACTTCCTACATTTCGCGTTGCCCTGTGCCACAATCACCGATCTCTACAAGGTTACAACAAGTACGGGACAATGTCAATGCTCGGCACTGGCAGCGCCTTCGAAGTCGGAGGCTTAGTCTCTCCGGCCATGATCAGACCGTGGCGGCAACTCACTCAATTAACGCATCCCCATGCTACGATGCTGCTCTGCTCTGCGGCGGCTGCATGAGACCAACGACTCCATGTCCCAGTGAAGTGTTGGGCATATTCCTCTTGGCTGTGGACGAGCTCTCGACTCTGAATCTTTACTGACATTGCACTCAATCAGATACGGGCGTCTTAAACGCAGTATATACACACATGAGGTCGCCAGGACTCCCTTGAATGCAGCTATCTGCCAACAGAGTATTGGACGGCACAGCTGTGTCAGAAGAAAGCGCGGCCAACTTGAAGGTGCTAGAGACAAGTTGATCCCATCGGCCCGGGTAGAGCATCGCCGTAAGTCACTAAAGAAAAACGTTACTTTGTTGAGTTATGAAGCCCCCTCCGAGGCCTAGGTCGACAAGACCCCATTCTCTTCATCCACATTGTTTTCTCTCTGAACCTTTCCCAGTTATGATTCCCTGCGTCGATCGTCCGAATTCGCTTTCCTCGCGTGCCTTAACAGCCCTACTCCTCTGCTCCCCTCATACGTCTACAGAGACGCTGACCACTTTGCCTCCGAGCCGCGGGACGACACAGCATTGAATGCAGCGAAATTACCGGTAGCGACTCCGACTGCACCTCCCTAGCGAGATGCCATCGAGGCCACCACTGGCATGCGAGACCAGTGCATCAGATTCTCAAGACTACCTTTGCAGTCCGTCCAATTGAGGCGTCGCTGTCAAGATAGCCCTCACTCCGACCAATTCGGAATTTCGGATGGCTTGACAGCAAGACTAACAGAGAGGATAGCTCTGGATCGAAACCACTTACGGCGTCAATTAAGGGGGGTCTACCCCATTCTAGATCTCTTTCTTTCTTTTTGCATCGATATCAATTGCAGTCACTCTTTTCGCCGCCTTTTCTACAATGCGTTGCAGGATGCGCAACGCCAAATATGCACCCGGCTCTAAGACTACTGCATCTCCTGCGTCCTGTGTATGATTCATACTATGGTGACTTGGTCAACTGCCCGAAGAGCAGCTCCATCATACATGAACTCGGCGATGGGGCGATTTGGATCTGGCGACAAGCGTGAGCGTCCGAGTCGTATGGTTCAAGTTGAACATAATCACGTGCGGTTTGCCTCTGCTCCGCCTCTGGTTACACGGCGAGCAATTAAGTATGTATCATGTGTTGCTTGTACGTGCATTGGGGTGCCCTCACCGATTGGCCCAATTCAAGCCGAAAAGAGGAAGCCTGTGGAAGGAATCCCGCGGACTCAATTAAGTAGACGCCATGTCATCAGTTTTTGCTGTCTCACAACAATGTTCTCCAACTCTCCTCGTCACCTCCATCTTGGTTGTGAGTTGCCCAGAGCAAGCAAGGTGTAACCGCTGCCCCTGCTGACACTGTTGCCCCGGGATACAGACCCTTAAGCTTGCTGTCGCCGATTACCCGCAGCCTCCGCCTGGGACCATTGACATGTGCTGCAACACCGTGGGCGATGCCAACGACCTCATCGTCCAGCAAACCGCTGCATCCGCTGGCATCCCCCTCTTCAACCTCCCCGGTCTTTTCGGCATTGGCTGCAACGCCACAGTCGTCTTCTCCAACCCCTGGTACTCATCTGCACATGTCAATGCTGTCGCTGTTATCCCGCTGCAAGGGCTAATGACATACTTTGTGCAGCTCCAACATAGCTGTTAACTGTGACATTGTCGATTTGGGTGCGTTCTTACGTTTGAGGAGTCCCGCGCATTACTGAATAACAGCCGGTCGCAGACGAAGGCCTTGTCATCTACACGGGCTGTATTCCGATTCCTTTCTGATGCGATTTCAACTGGTGCCTAAGGCTCAGGCCAACAAAAGTGAAATTCGCCTTCCATAATTAAAGTCCGGTGCCAGGGGGGCAGTGTTGCTGCAATACAGATCAACTTCACTCTTCTGTTTAACAGTGGCTGTGATGTTTGAAGCTGGTAGGGCCATGGCCCTCAGGCTTGCAAAAAATGTTACTGCTGACAGGCAGTGATGTACCTATATGGGCAATAGGGCCCTACTGAAATATAGCCCTACAAGCCCTATTGTAGGGCCCTATCCAAGGGCCCGCTGCCGATATGGCCCTAGGTAGGGCCTATATCCTTATCTTATCTTATCAAATAGTCACATCTTTTGACACATCACCGACTTTTGCGCATCTTCCGCATCATCCACGCATGTCGCGCACTTCTGCGCAACCTCTGTGCCAACGTGACAAGGACACGATACACACCAGTCACCAGTATTGAAGCTCCGAAGCGGCAGACTGTTGATGGGAGTGATGCGTCAGATGCCGCCACCAAATTGAAGCGCTGATGCAGCACTGTCGCCTGGAACTGAACTAGAACACTCTCAATGGTGTTTTGACACCACTCTAGCTGTACTCTGGAAGATAATTGCCCGCTCTACATAATTTCCTTTTTGGGAAAATAGCCCTATTTTTTGCCATATATATAGGGCAATAGGGCTAAATAGGCCCTATCTGGTCTGGCTGTAAGGGCAACTCCGCGGCCCGAGAACACTCAAGAGTCCTGGCGGAGGGGGATCCAAAGTAAATACATAAACAAGATAAAGGAAAGTACAAAGGGGCACACCTGGCGGAGGGGGATCCAAAGAGAGTCAAGTCTGAGGATCCCCTCGCCAGGCTGCACTATATAAATACAAGTCTGGTGGTGTCTACATGTCCGGAGGTAGCGGAGGACAACCGGCTATCACGGAGGTGTCCAGAGGTGTCACACTGTGACGGCGGCGATCACGGGGTGACAGGCAGAGATCACGAAGGCGGGCGGAGATCAGTGGGGGGCGGCGGAGTGCGTGGAGGTGAGACCCGGTGCGAGTGGCAGTAGTCCTGTGCCAGGTCGCAGGCCAGATCCCAGCGGGAGAGGCTGCGTGGGGAGCTAGGGGCGGCGGAGCGAGGTCTGGCGGAGCCGGAGGTGGGTGCGGAGTTGGGTGCGGAGGTGCGGAGGGCGCCGGAGTGCGTGCGGAGGTGACCGGAGGACGTGCAGAGGGGCCTGGAGGTGTGCGAACGGGAGGTTCCCCTTACACTGGCCCCTAGGTGCATCACTGCTGACAGGCGGTGACCCGCTGATTATATATATTTGAAAACCCTTCATATCATATTTATATTCTCACTTATTCATATTCGGCGACCGTATCGTAATCGTATGTATTTGAATATATTCAACAATACATATATTTTGTCGTATCGTGCAAAGTAGACCTTGAAATACATGCTATGCGGCAGGTCACACAGTAGTAAGCATTTCCATCGAGCTTGAAGACTCTATCTGATGCTGGGTTGTCCGTGGAACAGCATCTTTGGCTATTACTACAGAAGAATGATTGAAGTTGGGGCTTGGAAATATAGGAGTTCATCAAGACCCACTCCAAGTAGACAGTTGAATATATTCAAATATATCACTTTTGAATATGAATGTATATGATACGAACCCTCAAGTGAATACGATATGGATATGGCAAATCAGTGTACGAGTGAGATCACGTATCAGTTACCCGTACTGATCCGATTACCGGGGCTGGAAGACGTCGGGATTTTTTGCTATTTTTCTGACGACGGAAGTTCGGCCGTGCCGTTTTACATAACATAAAATAACATAACATAATGAACATTAGGCATTCCAACTTTTACATGGTACTGATTTGTTGTTGGTGCACTGCGTACAGCCGCGGTTACCCCGCCG